CGGTGCTGCCGGCACGTCAACGGGGGGGGGGATCTCCTTGGGCGGTAGCGATGGGGTTCGTTGGGCATCTTTTCTTCGCAGAAACAACTGCTGTATTGTACACGTATATTACAGTGTCTGTGTGCGACACGTGGCGGTGCAATGCCGACTGGCACGCGTTGATGGCAGCGGCCCACAGAATGCACTTTGTCATCCACCTGGTCGCCTGCGATGCTAGCACGCCACCGCAACGGCCCTCATGAATGATCACCCATCCGTGCCTGTCCATGCATTGAAGCAGTTGGACGTCCACTGCTGAAGCATGGGCAGCCACGGATGCAACTTCAACGTTGAAGCCTTCAACGTTCAAGTTCAATACCGCCGAACGTACCGTATTTCATGCACACCCTGCGCCAGCAATCATCGCCCCTTGCCCTGTTGCTGCCTCTTCACACGTTCGTGTACCCAAAATATCTTGTGCCAGAATGACAACTGACCTCCCATCCCCTCCTATCAGGGTTCCTGCAGTGTTCAATATATTCTCGACTAAAAGCACCAAGATGAACATGTTCGCGCCACCGTGTACTTGACTTCTGCGTTGCGAAACCATGCGTTTCAGTGCCAATCATGTGCATGATCCGTAATCCCGCCTTTTCATTTCCTGCATAACAACCTTGTTTCAACAACCTGTACACACAATCATGCACAACGCGACAACCGAAACTACTACACTACTCTTTTGTACAATACGTAAAGTTTACGCTATGGCATGGCGTGCCCCATTATGACGACACCCACACGGTACACCAGAAACTGGAGGGATGCTCTTAGCATCAACGTATCATACCAATCGCCCTCCGATCGTCTCACCGATCGTCTCACCGATCGTCTCTCCGATCCTCTTCATCTCGTAGCATGCCCAGTTGTGACAACCCATGCTGACCAGACACCACTTCTACCTACAGCACCATACAGTATAAGTGCACCGCGGTCCCGTGACACATCCAATCCTTTTACACACGCACCAAAATCCCTCCTTGCAACACCTCACCATATCGTATCATCAACAAAGCAAACTACTCTACTAGTTTCTATATAGAGCTAGTCGCTACGGTAGTCTCTGGCTAGAGCCTCTAGTATTACAGCACGAAACACCGCGTGTTGCCAACTGCCCAAACATCGAACCCTCAATATACACTGTATGACGTCGCAGAATTATTCGGGCTACCATGTCTCCCTATCATCTGCATCCCTCTGGTGCCAAGAACGAGTTCCATTTGTACAGCAACAATCTACGGGCCTTCCAGTCTGAGCAGAACGTCAAATAAGCTCGAATCTTGTCCGTTTTCATGCAATTTGCTCACCGCCTCTCCGAAAACCCACCACGCCTTTGCCGATACGCCTTGGCAGCAACACAAGAGGAGAAAAAAAGAGACCGCCCTTCCCGTCTTCCTTCATACTCAAACGTTATCAATGGAAAATGCTCTTTTATTCATCCACCATCTTGCCCGTTTACACTAGTTTGTCTTTCACATGGCACACCGGTGTATGTCAATGGCTGTGTGATCAAAACCGCCGTTCACCGATGACGTTATGGCATACCGTTTCATCCCGCACCTTGCAGCTCTGTGAGCGAGGGATTAGTGAGAGGAATTGTCATTGTTAGGCAGGTTGATGCCCGGCTGTTGATGTCAACACTGTCAACAGCCGGGACCTGCCCTACAACAGTGATGTCACTCGTACTTGTTCTTGTGACCATGTCACGAGAGTTGCACAGTACAGCACGATGCGCGCCGAGTGTGAGTGACGTCATGAAAAATTCCTGCAAGGCAAAATAAAAAAACAGCCATATGTTACGATAGTCATCCATTCGAAAATCAACCAAAAAAATTGTTTCCGATCACGCTGGGCGATCGGGGCAGCGCACCCCGGGTGGGGCTCGAACCCACGGCCATTAGGTTAAAAGCCTAACGCTCTCGATTGCTGTGAACCAACTGAGCTACCGGGGCTGCTTTGGCTTGATCGACGAGGAAATGGTACCGTATTTAAATTCAAACTAAAGTGAAACTGGCCACTTTCTGAGCTGCCAAATTTCGCATGGAGACAAAGCGACTTCATCTCTAAGCCCCTACCATCACCCAAGCCTCTCTTATCCACCCCAGCTTATAGCGCGTGCATGCGCCAGCTGGTGTCCATCAATTCGCTGTGAAGAAAGACAAAAATCGTTTTGAATGATTTGACTAGAGGCGAAACCAAAACGAACCGGCTGATCAAGTGATATGACTAGATATCTCTCTACAGTGCCTCGTAGGCTGTTCCTACTCAGACGCGAGAAATCCCTCTCCGGTCGCCTCTGGGTGATGCAAGTCCTTTTGACTGTTTTACGCACAAATGTCGCTAAAGATATTTGATATAGATCGTAACGATAGAATGAACCCCTTTTCTAATTACTTTATGGTTGGCACACCGAAATCCCACATTCCACAACTTGTCGGTTGCAAAGGTCGGCCTAGAGGGCAGCTGTTACCATCTTTGCTCCGGAGCCCTCTCATGTAGAAAACCTCTCTTCTAAGTCACAGGTATGATCTTAGATCTAAGACGATTGAGTTTCCTTCCGACCTATGTATTCTTATATGCAATAAGCTATGAGCTCGGCCACTGTTCCGTTCAGCCCTCAGACTTCACCCAAAGCATCGACCGCGAGATGTGATCTGCTCGCCTCGTGTATGCCCTATTTGTCCCGTTGTTTCTGAAATTGTACCACTGGGCTGTGAGCCATGAATTTGCGTTTAGCGCAATATCACAAAATTCAATCGCGCATAAATGATACGCATCGCACCCTGCGGCCGCATTTCTAATTCGGAAAGAGTGGTTTATGAATATTTGACAAGCAGTCAGCAGACCCCCAAGAGGCCCCGATGCTTGCAAAAATCGGTCTTCAAATTAACCGGTGTGGTATTGTAAGACCTCTCGCAACACGATCTGCCTCGAATTAAATTGCTCGCGAAGCCCGTAGACGTCGCTTTTCCAACATACAGAATGCGATGAGGATGGTAGGTTTTGTTCTTCCTGTAATGAGCATCATTGATACACTGAATGACCGCTCTATAGTCGGAGGTCTCTCTCTGTAGCATCTGTTGATTTCCGAGAGTGCTCTTGAGAAAGGTTTGCGCAGCAGTTATGCATTCCTGTGCGATTTCCACTTTACTGGCACTTGTAGTTGTGTGTTGTTCGGTTGGAGAGGGAAAGGAAACAAGGGAGTGGGGGAGGCGGGTCTATTCCACGGACATTCTCGCCGGGTTTGAGAAAGGGAAACTGTCTCTCTGGCCTCCCGGGTTCGGTGACAAGAATGCGGCAGAAAAGATCGTGGTTGACATTGGAGCCAACAACGGTGACCAATACTCGCTTCACGCGTTTCAGAAAGGTCACATGGTGTTTTCGTTTGAGCCAAGCCCGATGCTGGCACGGCTGTTCCGGGATGTGATGAAGAAGAATCAAATAGATACGGCTTTTGTGAAAATGCGAAGCGGCAACGACAGCAACAAGTACATGCGAAGAACGGTTACAATTCCGTACGGAAATGAATCTGTTAAGCCCAAGGTGTACTACATTCCCGTGGCGTTGTCGAACGAAACAGGTTCGGGTAGCTTGCATCAGTCGCCTTGCTATGATTTGTCCAAGTGTGGAAAGTCGAATCGGTTGGTGAGGGCGCACGAAAAGGGAAGCGTTCGGGTTCCAACGTTCCGATTTGACGATGTGATGCTGCCGATTGATAAGAAGAAGATTTGGTTTATGAAGATGGATGTGCAAGGGCACGAAAGGGAGGTACTTCAAGGAGCTCGAGACTTGCTTGAAAACGTGCGGGTGCCTTACGTGGCGGTGGGAATATCATCGATGGGACGCAAAGGAATAGATTGGGGAGTGGGTATGCTCGATGAGCTGTACGAAAAAGGATACGTGTGCCACCATCTGCGAGGATTTGGGCGATGCCACGATGAGGTTTACCGGTCGCCCAGTCTCAAGTGTAATTACCCGTTCTCTTTGACAAACAAGAGGACAGCTCCTACTTTTGAGGAGTATGTGAAGGTGTTTGAGATTCAGGAGGGGCAAGAAAAGAGGAAAAGGGCATCAGCAGATGTGATGTGCGTTCACCAGAGACTTTTGTAGTTTGAAGTGAAGCAAATTGGCTGTTGTTTTGCTACGGCACAAGTTGATGAGGGCCGTCCTCTAAAACGGAAGTTTTTAGGGGGACGAATATGCAGTGAATTAACGGACAGTAAACCGAAAAGAAACCGATTCTAGACGAGAAAGATGAGAAACTAGACTACTGTAGCAAGCTAGAGAAATGTTTTCTCTAGCTTATTAGTCTAGTAGAGGCATAGGAAGAAAACCTTGTTTTAAAAGGAAAGTCAAGGAATAGCAGGCGCCGTGATAGACGAACTGCTTCCTGCATAAAAATGTGTTTCCATGTTTACTACGAATTCGACGAGATGTCCTTATATTTGAATTGACTTGTCCAAAAGTGGTTAAGGCAGTTATTATCTGGGGCAGGTCCTCTTAATGCGGCGAACGGAGGAGGAAATAAAATGCTTTGCGAGATGACAAGATTAAATGAGTATTGAAGTATCATACAGTACCCTTGTACTGTACTAAGAGTACCTTCGTAGGTAACAGTAAATTATGTTGTGGTTAAACTGCTCCTGTTCGGAAAAGTCGCCTCACCGGGCCCTTGTGAGTCCCTCGTTTGATCCGGTTGGTTTTTGATCCGGTTGGTTTTTGATCCGGTTGGTTTGATCCCACGTGGCTTTTGCTTCTAAAACGTGCACTGTATGGCAAAAAAAGCTTACAGTTGTACTGTAGCAGGCACAATCACACGCGTACATACAATGACACTGTATCCGTACAGTACAATCATACGAGCACACGCCTCCAGTCTAGGGACCGACCAATCGTGACCTCAGGGGCCTGCTCCAACGGCCGCAGCAGCACAGACCGCACACGGCACAGACCGAATCTCCCTTACGCAGTGCACACACCAAATCTTCCTTACGCAGTGCATACTCACTCCATCCCTTCCCGCACCCGCCATCCGTCACGCAGCGTCTTCGCGTGCTTCCCCTGCAATCTCGCACAATGGCCGCCTTCATCACTGCGACGGCAATTCTCTGCGCGGGGCGGTCCGCATTCCACGGCCTGCGCTGCGCGCGTCCCCGCGCGTCGCTCGCACTGGCGGCCCCGCCGCGGCGGGGCGCGGGGCTCACGACCTTCCCGGGGCGGGCGCGCGGTGCGCGGGCGACGACGACGACGACGACGACGACGACGACGATGCGCGTGGCGGGCGACGGGGACGGGGTGCAGGTGCACTACACCGGGTTCCTGGACGACGGGTCGCAGTTCGACAGCAGCCGCGAGCGCGGGACGCCGCTGTCGTTCGTGGTTGGGGCGGGGACGGTGATCCGGGGGTTTGACGACGTAAGTAACGCGCGGACGTGAGGGGGAGATGCACGGGGCGGTGTGGCGGCGGAGACGAGGATGCTGACAATTGTGCGGTGTTTTTTTTTTTGCGGGTGTGCGACGATTGCGGAACGCGGGGGGGCAGGCGGTTCGCGGGCTGCAGGTGGGCGAGTCGCGGCGGACGCGGATCGAGGCGGAGCGCGGGTACGGGGAGCGGTCGGACGACATGGTGGTGAAGATCCCGCGGTCGCGGGTGCCGGAGGGGATGGAGGTGGTGGTGGGGAGCAAGGTGCCGCTGTCGAACGGGATGATGGCGGTGGTGCTGGGGGCGGACGCGGAGGAGATCGAGCTGGACGCGAACCATGAGCTGGCGGGGAAGGCGCTGACGTTCGACATGGAGCTGGTCGGGTTTGAGGAGGGCGTGCTGGGGGAGGTGGGGCCGGGGATGGAGAGGGCGGTGTTCGGGCTCGGGTGCTTCTGGGGCGCCGAGCTCGCGTTTCAGAGGGTGGCAGGGGTGGTGGCGACCAGGGTTGGGTACACGCATGGGCAGACGGAGAAGCCGACGTATGAGCAGGTGTGCTCGGGGAGGACGGGGCATGCGGAGGCCGTGGCTGTGGACTTTGATCCCGCGCGGGTGTCGTTTGAGCAGCTGGTGGAGGTGTTCTGGGAACGGCTCGGGCAGTCGGCGATGACGCCCAACCAGGTGGGGAATGATGTAAGTGAGCGAGAGCGGGCGACGGGGGAGAGAGAGGGCGGGAGGAGAGAGGGAGATGTTGGAATTCGTTTGGAGAAGGGGAGTGTACTGACATGCAACGTTTCTGTTTTGTTTTTTGTTTTGTTTTTTTTGCTGGTTGATTGTGTTTTTGGTTGGGGGGTTATTAGGTCGGGACGCAGTATCGCAGCGGGATTTATGTGCAGAGCTCGGAGCAGGAACGGGTGGCGGAAGAGTCGAAGCGAAAGGCACGGGAGAGGTTTGGGAAGGATACGGTGGTGGAGATCGAGAGCGCGGAAGGGGTGCCTTTTTATCTGGCGGAGGAGTACCACCAGCAGTACCTGGAGAAGGGGGGGCAGAGCGCGGCCAAGGACGCGACCGAGACG